TCATTGCAATGTAAAGATACAACGCAAAAATGTATCTGTTTTTATTCTGGCCATAACAACCATAAGAGTAAAATATAATTTTGCGTATACCTTTTTCGTGTAAGGTCTTGACAAATTGAAACAAGCAACTCCCTATTTCGATGCACCCTTTTTTTCCAATTTGAGCTTGCCAAACGTAACAGAACCCTAGTTTGTTTAGAGCGTCAAAAACTGTAAAATTATTATTACGTTTGTAGTGGAAAATTGACAGTTCAGACTGTGGTACATTCAAAATAAGCCTGTGTAACTCACAAGCAATTCCCCACCATTATCAACCATTTTATAGGAATTTAAGCTTTTGTGATACTGAATCTGGTCACGATGAGGATTCTGATTAAGATTTTTAACTGTAATAGGACCTTATTATAATTTTCATGATTGTGTAATCATGTGTAATAGTCGTGTCTTCAGTGCAGTGTCTATTTTTTATGATAATAATAACTATCGTGTTTTGTCAAACTAACCAAAGTTGTTTCATTTACTAGAATGTCCTTTATTTCATAAAATATACTATAATAATCATGAAATAATACTTAAGTAAACTATTCGAATAAACAGTAATAGTCATAACAATAAAATGTTACATAAATAAGGTAGAAAACTATTTACCCGAATAATATCGTAAAGTAATTTTAGTGTCAAATCATATTGATATTTTTTTTCGTAAAGATCTAAAACCATATTATTCGTTTAAAAAACATTTTAATGAATTTTTATGGAATATACTCGTAGTTTTTCATATCTTCGTAAATAAAGATAGAAAAATTCTGAAAAAAAATTACATGGTGTATTTTAACTTCTAGATGCCGAAAAACGCATAACATGAAAAACCCCGTAATAGGTCATTACCGGATTATTCGCGGGGGGCGTCGGTGTGTAATACCATGCGCGAATTTTTTTTGTAGGCGCATTTTGTACCAGTAAAAATAAAATAAAGAGAATTGTACTATGTTGATTTTTCTATTTGGTATGTAAAAAAATTACAGATCCAGCACATAATTGAAATACAAAGTCCACCAAAATGCTGCCAGCTTACTCTAGTAAGTGTAACAATGCCACGTGAGTTACACAGATTCTGTTAGCTCCTTCGTAGACCCCCAGTCGCTGAAGACTGTCACCACCTCCAACATTCACAGGATACTGCCACATGTGCCTCATAAGTAAGTGAATACTTAAATACTTTATGTAAAAATTGGATTACACCTCACCTCACCCACTCAAATAACGTCAAAATAAAAAAAAAAAACCAACCAAACGTTATTCACCAAGTAAAAAGCTTGCTCTGGATTTGATGATTTTAATGGAGTTCTGTTTAGCGAAGGTCCGTTGTGATTTGTAAGCGTTAGAGTATTAAACGGCCTTAGCATAATAAATAAAGTGTCAGATTTTTGATCAACTGGTTGGGGATTTAAACCCCAACCAGTATGTGTGTACAGTAATTAATAAAGTTATTATTATTATTAAATTTATTATCTTGAGATACATTTGCTTTGGTGTCCCTGTTCTAGCGCCCTCTCCAATCACAGGATGGACATATTGCGTGTGCTGATATTGCGTCGAGAGGATTGGATACAATAAGGGTGAGTTTCCCATGATTCAAATCTAATTAAGATGACTGCACGGTTGGTGTAGTGTTTTAAGCTGTCGTCTCGCCGCTCCTACTGCGCTGAGCGCTGTGGGTTGGATGCCCATATAGGACAACACTTTGTGTGATCCACACATTGTTAGTCTGAGTCTGTGTGATCTTTCTGAGCCTTTCATGAATGTTAGTATATATGGAAATCCAACCAACTAATTTTAAAGAGTGCCCGTGAGCATTTTAGTTTTTGTTTCTTTAGACGTTCTATTAGCGTTATTACAAGGAAAGCTTTCCCAAAAAAGGTCATACCTGGACGTAGATCTGTCTCTTCTATTAGTTTATTAGTCTACTGATCCTTAAGAACTCATCTCTTTATTCTGGCCTATGGTCTCAGCCATCCATTTAACCTGAGGTGGTGATTAAATTCACCTTCAGAAATGTTTTCTCAAATCTATTCAAACAAGCAGCTTCTAAAAATTAACACAAAGGTACCCTTTTTTTTTCTGTGCGGAAATCCCCTCGGATACCACATACCGTTGGCAATGTCGGACTCGAACCGACGAAAACCGCACGCCGTCTCAGGTACCAGTAGTCGGGGAACCAGGTGTACCCTAGAAAGGGTACCCAGGTGTACCCTAATTTCTTTTTCGACACAATAAATACATTATAAACTACGATTTCCTTTATACACCGCTGACTCTATAAGGTAAACCGCAAAAAGGAAGGAAAGGAACTGAACCTATTTATGTAGTAGTGGGTATTCTGTATTTGTTTACATTCTAACATGACTATTGGATAATAATTCTTATTGCACTGAATCCTAATTTAACTTCCCTGTATTATGAAACTGTTTATGGCATTGAGTTATTACGCAATGTTTGTTAATATTAAATATAAATATACATCCTTGGAGCTGATCCTATAACCGTGGGAAAGCCATGTTTCAGCACATATGGGCCGACACGATGAGAGCGATACCAGGCCTGGAAATGGCCTAGTGGAAAACCAATGCGAAACAATTGCACGGACTGCACGGATGGCGTAGTGGTTTAAGCGGCCGCCACACAACTTTCTATTACGCCGAGTGTTGTGGGTTCAAACCCCACATAGGACAACACTTTGTGTGATCCACAAATTGTTTTTCTGAGTCTGGGTGTACTTTGTGTCTGTTTCATGTGTGTTTGTAAAGTCCCCCGCGACACAGGATTTATTCCTAGTGCGGGAGTTCTCTTTATCAAAAAGAAAAAAAAAAAGAATTCTTTCGTTGCTTTGCGACTGAGAGAGTCCCATAGAAGTGTAGAAAATACTATCTTTACTTGGTATAAAATAAAGTCGCATTTTTTTCTTGTACGCTTAGATCTTTTAAACTTACGGAACGGTTTTCACCAATAAAGGGGGTGATTCAAGTTTAAGGTTTATATGTATAATACATGCATATTATAGTAGAGAAACAAGAAAGAGTACTAGGCAAATACTGTTACGGAAATGGAGACAAAAGAGGTGAAAGATTGCTCTAGTTTTATTTGGAAAATAATAATAATAATAATAAACATTTATTTGCGAATATGGGTACAATAGTAAAGTTGTTACAAAGGTAATTTTCGTTCCTTCATATTCCACCTTGTGGCATGCAAATATTTCAATATAATTTTGTTTATATTACAATTTCACTAAAACATTTCAAACATAATCTAGACATAATTCATGAGTCACGTAAATAAATTCACCATCATCAACAGTCTTTAACAGTCCACTGCTGGACATAAGCCTCTCCTTAGAAAGGACCAGGAGGAGGAGCCAGATAGATTATATAATAACTAATAGAAAAGAAAACATCTCAAACTTAGATATTATAAGTGATTTAACATTTCCCAGTGACCACCGACTCTTGAGAAGCACGCTACAGATTACACCAATAAAGAAAACTGGAGCAAACAAAAATTATAAAACTAAACTCAGTATTCCAGAAGAAAAAGAACAATTTTTACAAATCTTAGGTACAAATGTAAACAAAATGATATTAGAAGAAAATGAAAATATAGGGTCATTGTACAACAAGATTAAAAAAGTAATAATCACCAGTTTAAATTAAATTCAACAGAAATTAACAACAAAACGGGAGACCATCCCTGTTCACATAAAATGTCTGCAAGAAGAAATGAATTGATTCAGAAGACATCGTTAACTAAAGAAGAAAAAGACGAACGTACCTACCTTTACAAAAACATCTACAAATTAATGAAACGCTAACGCACAGAACGCAGAATAAAAGACATTAGAACACACCCTGAATCAACAGGTAGCCTATAGAACGGTCTTAAAAACCTTATATAAAAGATGACGTAGTGTCATCATGACAAGAAAATATTGTCAAGATCTGAAATAATAGAAAAAGCAACCAAAAAAAAAACAAAAAAAATCAAAAAATAATAATAATATAAATTCATCTTAAATTGAAGTCATTTAATATTTTGAAAAAGTATTTAAAATAATGAAAACTGAATTTATTTATTTAGAAACTTATTTAAAATGACGTTATTTACTATACTACTGTTATATAATACTCATTATATCAATTTTAATATTTTATTAATTCATGCATGCACTTAATATGTACTTTTAATTCCTTATATATTTATATTTGTTTTGTAATTTATTCATTATGGAAATAAAGAGGCTTTAATAATAATCCGAGAATTTCAAAGGTTTGTCGTAAAAAATATGGTTTCGCGCTTACATTGCAAACGCAGGCTAAACCTTACGAGATAGACCAAAATAATGTACTACGGAATTGTATATCTTACAAAGATCTACAAAAGAGTCCGCGATGGTATACATCTATCTCCTAAGGAAAAGCCCCGATAACCATTTTTATCTTTTAAATATTACAAAAAAATAATGGGTTATTTACGAAGCTATACATTATTTTTCCTTAGCCAATTAACGTTAGGTACAATGTACTTTTAATGTAGATTAAAATTGCTCTTCACAGAATATCATTAAAATGAATATTATAAAAGATATTAGATAGTTTAAAATGCGGGGGCAAAGAGGCCTTCGCTGCTTCAGGCCGTACGTCCGTCGCGAGTGGCAGCGGCTGGCAGGATCGGAGCGTTTCAACGAATATAAGTAAGTATTACACATAAAGATGTCCTGTAATATAGTCCTATCATAATAATAGTATAATTAATTACTCCACACTGACACTTCATTAATAGTATTGGCAGTACCATCATTACACCCGTGCGGAGCCGGGGAGGGGTGGGGGGAGGGGTCGCTAGTCTACTCGTGTTATATTATATATATGCTACGTATCTATTCCATATTTAACATAATATTCATAAGGATTCTACCTCAGTCGCTCTTCTCGTCTCTCAACAAAATGGCCATTAATGAAATTTTAACGATTTCCCCGCGTTTAAAAGTTAATGTGTTAAGTGTTGGAGCAATTCTTACTTTGTTTCTGGGAACTCAGTTTAAGTAAGTTTAAAAAAAAACTCTTTTGTTTGTTCTTTCTTTGAATAATGGAACGCATGGCCTTTTTGTCTGCGATTTGTCGTTACAGAAAGGTACAATAAATTATTTGAAAAGGCACAATTCCAACGTAAAAATAAAACGTACCTATGTATAAAAATAGGAACCATTTTCTCATGTTTGTTAAACGATTAAATTTTTTTGCTAAATGCTAAGCCCAGAGGTTGTGGGTTCGATTTTATCTTGGCTATATTTTGTGTTATAAGCATAATATTTTTTTCTGTGTGTAATAATTATCTATAATGTGTATATATTTATAAATAGTGTCCGGTTGACAGCAATAGGATTATCCCGTATTACGTAATTGAGACTAAGGCCGCCCGTCCACACAGCAATATTTTGCCTCATATATTTTTTTCGCAAAATTCTGTGACACATGGGATCTCTAGTCCTTCGTAAATAAAGACATGAGTGTATGAATGGTATATGTATATATTCCCTTCATCAATAAATATGTACCACCACAAATACCTCTCTTTAGAAAGCGGTTAGAGTGTAGCGGTTGGTATAGGGTTTGTTTCAAGTCAAGAGGCGGTGCGTCTGGCCACCAAGAGAGTCTCCGTGGAGATCAGGCGCAGTCAATGGCACTGTATGGTGCACCGGTGTGGGTGGCGGCTCTGACCGCTCAGAATAGGACACGCCTCTGGTGCCCTCAAAGGATATTGGCGGTTAGAGCCACACGCGGTTACCGCACCGTTTCGACGGAGACGGCGTGCGCATTGTACGATTTGGAGCCACCCGAACGATACGCCAGTGGCGTGAGGCCGCTCGTCGAGTCACGATGGCTAGTTGGTTGTCCCGGCTGCTTCTCTAAGTAACTGCACTCGGTCGCTAGGAGGGAACTGAGTCCCGCCTGTCACCACTGAGATTGCAGTGAGGACTCGGCTCAGCACACGCTGGCCATTTGCCCAAACTTGGGCGCCGCAGCGCCGAGTCCTCATTGCAGTCATCGGGGCGCTCCATGACCGGTAGTGGTAGATGTTTCACCGCGGTCGCATCCTTCTGCGAAGACGTCATCTTGCAGAAGGAGGCGGCGAAGAGGGCACGGGAGGACAATCTCCACTCGGACCCAATTCGTTGTCGGCGAACCGGGTGGCGAAGGCACTCTTACCACCACCTCATGCCGCTCTGAGTGTGCTCGCGGGTGGACGGGACGGGTTTTCCCCTCCACCCGCCATAACAGCCAGTCGCGGGGAGGTGACGTCCGTGTGCCGGACGTCGCCTAAATGGAGAATGTACCCGAAGATGGTGACCGCGCCATTGCGGGCAGGTGCTAGGAGGGGTCTGGATGTCTTAATAATAGCAGTTCCCGGATCTCTCCTATTACAGGCGCAGGATGGCACACCATGTGGTTTTAGTCGGTCCGATTCCGAACCACCACACCGCCGTAAGGAGCGGCGGGTGACGGCCCGAGAGGGTTTCCACATGTAAAAAAAGGGTTAGTTTCACGAGATGGAATCTTTGCAGTGCTGTTGTGCTGCGTAGTTTGCTCCCTTAGTTGCCACTTACGACACCCAGGAGATGACAAGGGGTGATGACACATAGTGGGCCAAAACCTCTCAGGTGGAGGTTCCATCCACTGTTGAACATAGGTTCAGCAGTGGATTATTAAAGGCTGTTGATAATAATGATGAAAAAAAAATAGTTCCTTTCTTACCCTGATCCTCCGTTCTAATTTACCTTTTCTTTTATAAAACTACTCGTCTTCTCATCCCATTTCGGGCAGAAGACTCTTGAGAAGTTAATTATTATCCAAAGAGCCTGTTTTCAGGCAAGGCTTGCCCTTGCTTGCTTGATTACGTAAGTGGAACAGAAGTTCTAGTTAACAATTTTGCCTCTTCGGTGGTATATGTATGTGATGTATGGATTACGACAGATGAACCAAGAATTAAGTTGTACGATAAGAAAAGAAGCCACGTTTTGACCCCTAACCAGCTTTGTGTCACAAGAATTATTTTGTATGAATATAAATGTGCTGTTTTAAAATTAACTGAGTGCTTGTGTTGTGAAACCAATGTGAATCAATTAAAGCTTGCGGCAAGCGCTTGTGAAATATTTTCATGTTGGCGCGTGTTAAGTGTCTCTGTTTATATTTTGAAGAAAAATGTGTAAAGTCAAACGCAATAGCCGATACAACTTCAACGTTTGCTATGTTTGCCTGTTCGGAAGCCACTAACACACTTGCAGGCGTGTAAGTTCATCCAAACAATTCAAATAGACTTGGAGCTTGTGGACATTTGCCAAGCCTCGGCAAGCGTGTAAATTGGGCATTACAAGTTAAAATTATTTCACTAGTGGAGCACTGACTGCACAATTTAAAAGATACCTTAAATATAATCAAATGTTGGAACAAAAAACACAAACTTAGCTAAGTCTGTAAGTCTATTGACAGATATAAATATCGTATATATTGTATAATGTTTTACAAAAAAATGTAATAAACAGGTGACAAAAATAGTTCATTTTAAAGTTTCAACTTACTAAGTTTACAACACCTGTAATGTATTTAATGATTCATAACTTGTATATCATCATATCTACTACACTAATGTATAGTAGGCCAAAAACTCCTTTCTAAGGAGAGGCCTATGTCCAGCAGTGGACTAGTATAGGCTGTTGATGACTTGTGTTGTGAAAGAATTAAAGAAAAGAAAAATGTTTACAATTGTCAAGTGCAGTAGCTGTAAGTTTTTGTTTGAATTACGTTTCCCAGCCAAACGTGGGGTTTTTGGTTCCCAACCCACCACCATACTGGCTGACTTAGTGTGGGGACCGGGTTAAATATTTACCTGATAAGATCTGCTACACTAAATTTGTGTTTTGTTAAACACTTTTGTAACTTTCCTTGTAAATAAACAGATTCCATTTTTTATTCATTTTCAAATATCAGAGATTAAAAGCATTAAGAATGTAATGGTCAAACTTTAGATGGATGGCGTAGTGGTTTGAGCGGTCGCTACGTTGCTTACTACTACGCTGAGTGTTGTGGGTTCGATCCCCACATGGGACGACACTTTGTGTGATCCACAAATTGTTGAGTGTGGGTCTGAGTCTGAGATGTTTGTAAAGTATATTCCTAATGCGGGATATGTCTTTCAAAACAAAAAACCTAATTTTGTTTCCGGTATAAGGGGGCAAACGAGCAGCCAGGTCATCTGACGGTAAGTGACTACCGATGGTAAGTGACCAGTGATTTCCTTTCTAGGGTACACCTGGTTCCCCGGCTACGGATACCCGAGACGTTGTGCGGTTTTTAGTCGGTTCGAGTTCGACACAACCACCCCACCGTTGGGTTGTATCCGAGGGGAATTCAGCACAAAAAAAAACACTTGACAGACAGGCAGACGGAGAACAAAGTGATCTTATAAGGGTTCCGCTTTTTCCTTTTGATGTAAGGAACCCTAAAAAGGGGTGGTGCCACTCAGTATTCTTTATCCGTCACCACACGGACGTCGATATACCTATTATCGATTTTTAATCCAAAACTCAAATCGAAAATAAAGTATTAATTCCAACAGTAAAACGAAAGTTCAGCAGTTTTAACGGCTACCAGGATTAAATCGCCCTATAATTTCCGAAACGTTAAACCAACGCTCGGTATGGGATATATTAGAATCCCGTGATTCAAATTATGCATACTTAGGTTAAACAAAGTAATTCGATGCTTATAATCATTTCCATTTATTTTCGTACGCCGATCAATAGATGTGAATAAAAATATATTAGACATGCAAATTATGAGAATGTTTCGTTTTCTGTTTTTACCGCCCCCTTGAAAATGCCCCCCCGTGTGTGGTGCACGCTCTGCACACCCGTACCCGGCGACCCTGGTGGTATCACTCCGATCGAGCCGGCCTATTTGTGCCGAGACATGGCTGTTCCACGGAAGATGTCCTGCAGCGTCAAGCAGAGCTTGTACTATGAAAGCTAGATTGACTGCTAGAATACTTATATACTTTTTTTTTGTAAATACATGCATATTCATACACCCAAACTCTGAGACAAATATTTGCAGATCATACAAACATTTGGTCCGACCCGGGAATCAAACCCAAGTGAACCGAGCCACTGTGCCACCGAGGCAGAGAGTAATTATACGATGAGCACGATTATTTGTTTTCTGGGTGTAATTTATCTATAACATGTATGTATTTAGAAATATGTGGGTATGTTAATCAGCAGTCTGGTTACTTCACTATTGTAACCAGACCGCAGATCAGGCTTTTCTGGTTTGGGATCAGAAGGTTGTGTGTGGGATGTGTGACATTATTATTAGAAGGTATTAGTTTGTCCATCTGGGAAGTTTTCGAAGATTATTGACAGATTTTTGGGAATAATAATAAATAAATAATAATAATAAATAAATAAATAAATAAATAAATAAATAAAACTTACTTTTGTGATTCTACTCGTGGGTCAATCGGGTGGGCGGGTTTGTTTCCCCAGTGTGATTGGTGCGTCTTACCCTTTCCGTCCGGATTAAGAATACAAATTGTCACCACCCCAATTCATCCCGTGGGTGTCGTAAGAGCCGACTAAGGGAGCAAACTAAGCAGGACAACAGCACTGCAAAGAGTAGGAAAACTTGAAACAAACCCTATACCAACCCGTCTGGCCAGCGTGGTATAGTAGGCCAAAACCTCCTTTCTAAGGAGAGGCCTATGTCCAGCAGTGGACTAGTATAGGCTGTTGATGATGATGATGATGACCCTTTCCATGTTCAACTGGCGACACCGGTCTCGCGAACTCCTCACGCTTTTGTATTACTATGGAATGCCACAAGCCCGTATTTAATTCGCGTCAACTGGTCACGCCTTTGTGATCAAGTGGCGCTGGGGGAGGTTTTACATAATATTATGCAGTTGAACTGAACACTTTTTTGACTTGACTTTTGACTATTTGAGCCTTTAAAAGCGCGTTCAATCAGCGACGGTATTAGTTAAGGTACCGCTTTCATTGCTGTTACCACTGCTGTTTCTGCCACCGCCGCCGCTCCTATGATTGTAATGTTGCCACGTGTGTGTCACCTGAATTAATATGTTTCATGGGTGTATGATGGCTGGAATTTTAATGAAATATTATAATAGAATTAGTAAAACATTTATTATGGGCACAAAAAAAAACACACAAACTACAAAGCAAATATTTTCCGGGACGCTCGTTTTTTCCTAACGGGACTTTATTCTACCACTGCTGGGTAATTGTTTTTGATGTCATCTCGAATTAGATGTAGGTTGGACCTTTATTTTTCGTGAACGTATCATGAACTCTGACTCAACTGCGTCTACAGTAATCATATAATTGTCTTGAATTGAAGGCTCCGTGGAAATATTATTTTCTGTGTTAACATGTTCTTTAATCCTAACCGGCTACGTAAACTATTGCTGTGAGGTGCCTTCACTTGGGTCGGTCATCTCCACTTTATTGGAATCCAGGGTTTTATTTTTTAAGAAATGAGGGTTATATTCGTCTGCTATTGCCAATTTGGCCAAAGCTTGGCGGCAATCTTCAGTCATATTGCTTGCAGTAGCGTCCACCTTTCCCTGATAAACAGTCACACGTTCCCATATCAGAGTCGACTACATGCACATCTATTTTATCTTATGTACTAGTACTTAAGTACTAGTGATCCGCCCGGCTTCGCACAGGTGAAATGTAGATAATACTAATGCTATGAATAAGGTGTCAGTGTGGAATAATTAATTATACTATTATTATAAGAAGAATATACTACAAGACGTACGGCCCGACGCGGCGCAGCCGCTTTACCCCACGCATTTTAAAGCGTATCTATATCTGATTTCTACGGAGATATTCACTTTAGTGGTTGTAAAAAGCAATTTTGGTCTACATTAAATGCACAACGTATCTAACGTATTTATTTGGATAAGGAATTACTGTGCGAGGGTTTGAAATGTAAGCACACAAAACCATGTTTTACGACTTCATATTACAAATCTTTGAAATTCTCGGGTTTCCTCTCCTATAATATTCATGTATTATACATATAAACCCGCCTCTTGAATCACTCTCTCTATCGGTGAAAACCGCATTAAAATCCGTTCCGTTGTGATGTATGTTTAAATAAATATAATCTACTCTATATTACTCTCTATATTGCAATTTTATTCTATACTAGCTGACCCGCGCAACTTCGTCTGCGTCTCTCAATAGTAATAAATTTTCTCCGTTTTTGAAACATTCATCATTGGTGCTCCGCTCCTATTGGTTTTAGCGTGATAATATGTAGCCTATAGCCTTCCTCGATAAATGGGCTATCTAACATTGAAAGATTTTTTCAAATCGGACTAGTAGTTCCAGAGATTAGCGCGTTCAAACAAACAAACAAACAAACTCTTCAGCTTTATAATATTAGTATAGATTGCAATCCTTTATATAATTTGAACCACTAAAATTTATGCCAGTATTAATCTGGGATTCGATCGTTTCATTTACCTAGTCTAAACCTAACTGTACAGCGTAGTTTGAAAGATCCAAGAGTACAAGAAAAAAAGCGACTTCATTTTATACTATGTAAAGAAGACGTGTCATCAAGTGGCAATATTTAAGTTATCAACTTACTGTTTTGTTCGTATCTTATTGTTAACTTTCGCTCTCTCCTATATATATTACAAAACTTTTGCATTTTTGCAATATATTGTCTTTGAAAATACTTATAGATGCCTCGCAAAAGTTATTTCCGTTATGTCCTCCCTACAAGACAAACACCACTCTTCTCGTGGGGCCCACATATTATTTAAACAACTGTGTAATTTATAATTTGTCACTTCTTTTACATCCGCATTTAATGCCATCTGCTATAGTGTTTGCATACATGGCTTACCATCTGTATTAACATTAAATATGCTCTGTTTGCCAAGGCCAACGCCAATAGCTTGATTAATATAAAATATGCAAAACAAAAGCCGGCAGGTAAAACTAGATTCAACGCATTTCTTTCAGCTCTATTGTCATGCGTTGCATTTATTTTGGAGGAACTCTTTAACAGTTTTGAACGTGAAGTGTATTGTTCTTCTGTAGCTGCAAAAATAAATAAACACATGTGATTGATTGATCGCATGATCCGCTAGTATCTATAAAGACAATTTCATCGGCTTGTCTTTTTAGCGAAAACTCGCTGCATTATTGGTGTGATAATTACACAAATGTAGGATCCTCCAGAATGATCAAGTCTAAACCTAACTTCCTTAACTCGTCTTGTTTCCTTTTCAAAATGTGTAACACAGTATGTTCATTTCTATTACCATAATTTTGTTTACGCCATTGTTTGTAAAGACACACTACTGGTCAATCTCAATACTCAATATTTTATTGCACACCATAACGTTACAGAGATGTTACATTGGGTTTAACAGTGCGTTATGGACCCTGGCGGGCACGGTAGTGTAGGAGAGAGGTGGAAGTTTTTGTGCTTAGCTAAATTTTACTTAATTTTAATATTAAATAAATATATACTGAAATAGTGTACTCTGAGTCTAAAATCATTGGAATTTTCTGCCGAAAAATTAAACTTTTTATGTAATCAGCTGTCAAAGTTAAAGGTCATTTCCCGTAGGTATCGCACAAAAGTAATAACTACATGTGTATTCCGTGCAAACAGTCTACGCACACTAACACAAGTTGGCGGCCGGAGGGGAGGCCAAGCGCGCTTAAGGCTGCTTAATTAACTACATTGCAGTTTTTGACCGTATGCGGCATTTATTATTTTGTTTTCGGTGAAATGTTCTGTTTAATCATTGTGATATCATTTTTAAAAAACCATCAAAAAACCCAATACAATCCAAGGCCAATCTATACGGACGGAATTATAATTAAGAATAACTAATATCGGTCACGTAAATTGTACAATATTAAGTTCTTTAATTCATTAACTTGTACGAAACCTTAACTTTGTAGAAATAATTTTGCTAAATAAGGTTTTACATAAAAATATGGTTTGACTTTCTTTTTTCATCCAAGAGTTCTGCTGAACATGATAGGAAAGAAATATAAAAAGAAAGATGTAAAAAAAAGATAACCTAAGTTTAAATAGACTATTATTTAAAGATGGCTTGTTTTTTCCTAGTTTGGCCTTGATGGCCTTTGTTTAAACGCTTTGATCTCGAAGACCATCAGTCGGATTGAAAGATTCTTGTTGTACTAAATAGAGTATTTATTGTTAAATAATATAGGCTATAAAACATTACATAGGAGCGGAACAGTGACAATATACACTGGTAAAATGAAAAGTAAAATAAATTTTATTTGTTTTCTCTTTACAGTTCTATTCTACAATCGATATCTATGGCTGAAGTGAGCCTCCTGGTGCCTTTAATACAAGCAGTTGAAGTGGCCATCGTGGCTCTGTCATCCATAAAACTTGGAGTTTCGGAATACCCACCACAGGCTCACGTTGAAGGTAAATGGTATACCTAAATTATTTTAACACAAAATACCTTGATATTTAAAAAAAAAACTTAAATATTTCCTCATTTATTTAGTTATTGTTCTATTATATCTTTAATTTTATATAAATATTATATTATTAAAATATTATAGGCCCCTACTTAGAATGGAGGTTTTGGCCTACTATACGACGCTGGCCAGACGGATTGCTATAGGGTTTGTGTTAGGTTCTCCTTGTTGGCTCTTACGACACCAACGGGATGCATAGGGGTGGTGACACTCCATATTCTTAATCCGTCAACACACAGATATTCATCCTTGGAAGCTATAGATAAAATAGCTAACTCATTCAAGTACCGACAGAGTATGATACGAACATTACAGTAATCGCTTATCTCTATCTAAGTCTGATCAGCTGTGAACAGATCTCAGAGAACATTCACAACATGTAAATTACTCGTAGGTGACGTAAAGATATATGGCATTATTGATACGTAACTTAAAGTATGAAAAGTCTATTAGAATAAGAAAATAGATATGATACCCATTTAGGACGACCTTCTTTAAATTCGTCCGTGAGCACAGACCGCCCTCGAAACTCACTAAACCAGTGATACACAGTTGTTTTTGATGGTGCTTCGTCTCAAAAGTCGAAGTAAGTTGATCGATGCACTGTTTTTAAGTTAGCCATCGCGGAAAATCGTAAACAAAAGTAAATCTTCTGTAAATATTGAACTTTAAAAAAAAACGAGTTAATAAGTGCGAGTCGAAAAAGCCACATGAACAGATCTACTAATATTATAAAGCTGAAGAGTGTTTGTTTGTTTATTTGAAATAAATGAGTGCGAAAGCCATTTCAACGAATTTTGTTTCATCGAAAGCTTTTCAACGTCTCTTCAATATTGCGGCGCCTTGTAAATATGGTTTTCGTTTCGTTACATCGAAAAACTGTAGGTACATTTAACGATCGATTTTACTGCGAAAATATCATTCTGCGAAGCCTTGTCCAATCCAAGTTACTACGATGTTATGTTACCTATGAAAACTTACTTCGAACGATCAGATCGATTTAACAAAGCGTCGCAGTATAGAGGTGCAGTTGAAAGGTTTTCGAAACAAAATTCGATGATCCGGCTTCCGCACTTGTATTCCGACTGAAAATGGGGATAATTAATTCCTTTTAAGAGACCCGGACAAAGTTGCGCGGGTGAGCTAGTCCCAAATATATCCGGCTATGGAGTTTTAAAAAAAATGTAGACAGAATTTTCCTCACGCATTCTTAATTATTCTAGATGGCCAGACGTTTGACTTCATCGTAGTCGGAGCAGGATCAGCGGGCTGTGTGTTGGCCAACAGACTGACAGAGATATCGAACTGGAAAGTTTTACTCGTAGAGGCTGGAGATGATCCCTCTGCCGCGTCAAACGTGAGTATCATACACTCTTGTACATAGTATATACATTTACATCTATATTCAAGAAGAGAAGAGTAAAGGCATATTAAACGCACACATTTTGAAATTTCAAATTTTAGTCACACTTACTTACTTATTTGCTTCTGCGGGCGGAGAAAATTAGGCAAGGCAGATGAGGGAAGACAACGGTTTCTTTTATTTCTCCTCACTAAAATACAAAAAATCACTCTTAAAATTGTTATACTTAAAAAACGCTTTCTAAATGTGAGAAGCTGTTTGAGGTTGTGCGTTTGAGGGAGGCGAAAAGATGCCTTTATCACAAATTTAATTTTGACAATTTGTCAAATTACCAGGTCTCTACCCCATGGCTAGCAGACAAATTATCTGTAGTGAGTAATTTTAATATTAATTTACACATCCTATTAATTATTTTAGTAGAAAACAATAAGGAAATATGTATATAATATAGTTTTAAGAGTATGTGTGTGTGTGTGTGTGTGTGTGAGGGTTATTAGTTCATGACTTATATGCGAGTTTTACTATTGAGGAGATTTTCTGTGAAGACGTAATCCAGTGCACGCAACCACGACGCAACCACTTACCTGCATTTAACTTTTGTAAGATAGTATATTGAAAATACCCTATTAAATTTAATATACAAATTAAAGCCTTGATAGCCTTCCTGTTTAACCAAGTATATAGTAAATTTATACCCCCTGAGTTTTGAAAAACCTCATCCCAAGAGCCGCCACTGAGAAACAGAGCCATGTCATCTGTAATGATCTTTGCATATGGAATTTCCATCTGACAGAATCATTAATATATGCAAGGAAGAGTTTTGGGCCCAGGAGATCCCGGATTCCAAGATAATCTAGCTTATTTACCAGAATTGGGACAGAGACTGTGTCAAAATCCTTCGCTAAATCCAAAAATAATACTAAATTTATCGTTTGCTGTCTAAATTATTCACTATAAAACTTGTCAATTCAGAAATCCCTTCTGATGTAGATCTATTTTCCCTAAAACCAAATTGTGATTGTGATAAAAACTTCTTACTTTCTAAGTATTTAATTAGTCGTTTGCATATGTACACGAATTACTTTTAAATCCTAAAAAGCCCGACGGCAATAGTCTTGCCCATATAACACGTTTTGGACCCATTCGAACTAAATTTGTGACAGAATCACGGTGTTTAGAATTTATAATAATGTGTGTAATGGATAAAGAAGGCTTTTGTAGACTCATTAAAAAAAAACTTTGTTGTTTCAGTCACCAGGGATATCAATGTTGGTGTCTTCAAAATTGCCTAACTGGAACTACTTCACCGTCAACGATGGCTATTCAAGTCAAAGCCTTAAAGAAAAGCGCATAGAACAGCTTGCTGGCCGGATGCTGGGAGGATCCAGTAGTATTAATTTCATGTTCTACCTTAGAGGTAACAAGGCTGACTATGAAACCTGGGTTCAAAAAGGCAATCCAGGTTGGGATTGGAATAACGTCACGTCTTATTTCAAGAAGAGCGAACGCCTCAATGACAGAACCATTATGGAAAGTGAATCCGGCTCATTACATAACACAGACGGTTACTTGGGAGTTACGAGGCCAGATTGGTATCACAGAACGAGTGAATATTTAGACGCCTTTAAACAAAACGGCCATGAAATTCTGATAGAAAACAATGGACATCAACAGTTAGGTTACGCTCCAGCGAGCTTTACAGCTGAAAAAAATAATCGACAAAGTACGGCTAATGCTTTTCTCAAGCCTGTTAAAAATCGGAAAAATTTGTATGTCCTTAAAAATACTAAAGCCAGGAAGATCTTGTTTGACAAATGTAAAAGAGCAGTAGGAGTTGAGTTAAAATCAACTGGCGGAAAAGTGATAAAAGTTAAGGCCCGAAAAGAAGTTGTCCTGTCTGCTGGGGCTATTAACAGTCCACAACTGCTTATGATTTCTGGTGTAGGACCCAAGGAACATTTAGAAAAAATGCGTATAGACGTATTACTCAATTCGCCAAACGTGGGTAAGAATCTACAAGATCATCCACTGGTACCAATAGTTATTACTAGAGACCAAAAGTTTTCGTCGGTCATCGAGAACATTGAGCCTTTAAAATATTTGGACCGCTTCCCTTTGCCAGCCATCGTAGGTTTTGCGGCTCTGAATAAGTCACAAGGTTATCCAGACTACCAAGCGACCGCCGTTCCAGTGCCAGTCGCCCCTATATTACCAACCTTACTTTGTTCCACTGTATTTACGATAAACGATAAGTCTTGTACTGTTCTAGCCAAAGACACTAAACTAAAAGGAGCCCTGGTAGGTTTAGTTACCCACGTGCAGCCAAAATCGAGGGGACAAATCATATTAAGGACTTCAGACCCAGAAGACAGCCCTCTCATATATTCAGGGTATTTTAATAATACTGAGGATTTAGAGAACTTTGCTAAATACGTTGAGGATTATGTAAGCGTAATAAATACACCATATCTTCGGAACTTGAAACCAGAGATAATAGATTTAAGAGTGCCTCAGTGCCAAGACCTTAAATTTCCCAGTCATGAGTACTGGAAATGTTATATTTTGAACTTATCGAGCAGCCATTACCATCCAGTTGGCACTTGTGCAATGGGATTGGAAGGACTTGGAGTGGTGGACGAGAGACTTCGAGTTCGAGGGGTGAGAAGATTACGAGTGGTAGATGCTAGTGTAATGCCGACCATTACCAGGGGAAATACAAATGCTCCTACTATAATGATTGCTGAGAAAGCTGCCGACATGATCAAGCATGACTATGGGTTATATGAATAATTAAAACTGAAATTATAAGTTTTCACAATATCCTCCATACAAAAAAAAATAATTTTCAAAATCGGTTCATAAATGGTAAACTTCTGAGGTAGTAAACAAACATCCTTTTTTAAAGTCGTTTAACAATAAAAACAACTGTCTAGTATTTAACCTACTGCCATCCAAGTTTATGCTATTGCCTTGCAATAATTATATCAACATTTTAATAAATTTTATTTGTTCAAGTTATAAAGACAATTTTATTTTTATTAGTATATAGTTAAAATTAAACTTAAAAATAGTTGTTAGTAACGACAATGATAACATACATCTTTAGAAATGTTAAGTTGGTTTGTATACGCTGAGCTCAAAAACCCACTTCACTTGGCTAAATTCGTAATCGATCTAAGAGAACACATTAAAAATCAATATTTATTCGGTCTTTGTACTAACTATTATATTAAACTTTATATATATCACTATAGTCGATTCGTGTTAAAGCAGTGCCGCATCGAACACATTACATCGATAATTTCTTGAAACCTGATTGGTCAGGGAGCATGGCCTTGGTCGATGCGTCACTATTACGCCATTATTTTCTATGAGTAATATATATAATATTTAACGAAATGGTCAATTATCAAGCTTTTAAACGACTTGGCAAAGCAAATCCAAGTGCAAATGCAAAACAATCGAGTCTCCTTAAGAATCAATTTTCATATAAGGCCCGGTATGAAAAAAAATATGAAGAGTAAAAATTTGTGATCGAATGACCTCGTTACGTTTATTTGTGCACAACCTATCAAAAAAAGTCATATCAATCAAATAAAAAAATCATATCAAAAAAAGTTATATGTGTAAAATAAAGTGTAAATACAGCATGTTACAGATATGTGATCCAACTTTAGGATCGTTATACGTAGCTGACAAATAGTCTTTGTGTCTTAAAGAAAAACAGATTTTGGATTATTTATATCCTTCTCAGAATGCTTTTCCTAACGCAGGTGTATAACATTTTAGGAATGAAAATTCCTAATATGTTTATTTAGTGATTTTGTTTTTGAACTTTTGTAGGGGGACATTTCATTAAATAAAAAAGACATTCCAATCACATTTTTGGTGTTAAGCATACATTATTTCATTCATGTCAACCCTGCCTTATTCAAAATCATTAATTATCATTTTTAAATTTAATTTCTAAAATTGTTAGCGATTTAAATAATTTACGCGCTCCGACATACGACTCTAATATACATATGACCAGAGTTTATATTACAAACTATATAAGTTCGTCGTAAATAAACCGCTTAGGTTATTGATTTTTCTTTAATTCACTGATATCACCTTAGAAGTGGTTTACAACTCTGTAATTGCTTTGCTCGGCTGTGACCATTACATACCATAGATAAGATGACAGCTTTTGTAATGTTTCACTATTCGTAAACAATAATCAATATAGGAAACTAAAGCAATATAGGAAAGCATATTTACATATTCTGTGAAGCGTTAAACAAACAGGTACATAAAAAAAAACAATAATTCGTTGGTTTTAATTAACTATTATGAGATTTTATTTGTATGGTATTGAAGGGGGCAAACAAACACATGGGTGACCTGATGGTAAATGAGTAAAGCCGCCCAAGGACGTACGCAACTCAAGAGAGACAAGCGTGTTGCCAACCTTTGAGTGGCAGAGTTGCTAAGGCTTAGAACAAACTAGCGGTTACATGCGGCGTGATGTTGCGGTTCACCGTAGCATATACGATACGCCGCAACGGCACGCCGCATTACAGCTGACTGCATCGTCTTGGTTCTATTACGGCCCGCTGCAATCGTCAGTGTCTAGAAATATCGGACATGGTGTATATAGTAGGGCGTTCTTTAACATCTAAAATTAACTTCCTTCCCTATCAAAATCTATGAAAAACATGCAACAGTTAATTAAAATACAGAATAATAACCTCTACCTACATCGCCTAGCGACGGACTGGGCGAGAAGCTGCGCCTGCGGCTGACCGCATAGACCGTCTCGAGTTTCGCTACGGTAGACGGCTGGCCGCACGTCAGTGCGTTGACATCATGCGTTTTCATATAAAAATCGATGTGCTTTGAACAACAACGGCACACCACAGTGCGGTTAACCACAAGTGTGTTTTAAGCCTTGGAATAGCGAGGAGGGGGTTGGGCTCTAGCAACCACACTCACTCAGTGAAAACTAACGAAAGAAGTCCTTAACACCGGTTTTCTGTGAGGATGTTGTATCGGTCGCGCTGGCAAATATGTGCTGATGCACGGTGAGATACGTAAATAAAACACTTGTTTTTGAGAATCATATCAAATCTTGGACAAGAATTTCAGCTCCAAAGACCAGGTAGTAGAAATAAGTCTAACGTAAAAACGGTATGGGGAACTTGAAATGACTAGAACCACACTGAACTTAAGCGGTAAAAATACGCATGACAACAGCTCTGCAAAGAGAACGAAATCTTGCAACAAACCCTATACAACATCACATTAGACATTTTTTGACATCAAACTCGCTACGGTGGTAAACAGAGAAAGGAAAGAAGAACATAAACTTAATGTTGGTAATAATTCCAATAATACAAAACACATTTTACCAGAAATTGGTAATTTGTTCAGAAAATCTCAAGCAGCAATCATCCTGCATTCTGGCCAATAATAGTAGTAAAACGTTTTCTTTTGAAAGTGTAAACTGGAGACATTAAAAATGTTTACTCAGCGCATACTGCGGAGAAGTGTTTCAAGAAGTTAAAAAAATAATTATCTATGCTAAATTACAAAACCCAACCGACTCTTGCTTTACTGAACGTTTCACTTGGGTAAAAATGAGAACATTTGGAACTAAACATTCAGTGTCAAAATGTCAAAATTGTCAAAATCAGTCAAAATCAAAACAAACGTTTTGGTATCATAACCATATTAAGTTTTATCTTGCTCAGTATATTACGAAAAATATGACGAAATTACGACAGTTATTGAACTTGTCCTACTGTCGATACTATAGCGTGCAGCAGACGAAGAAAAAATTGCCAATAATCACATGTAAACGGCCCGAATTCAACCATTACGAAGGTCAGACATATCCGAAGTTTGAAGCCATCCCTCTAGCTTCTAAGGGATGGTTACATCCTAAATCCAAAAACGACTATTTCATAATCTATGGTAATGCAAATAAACAAGAAGTGGAGCCAGTTTATACAAAGAGTTTTGAAGAATTAGGTGTTAATCCTGCTTTGATTGAGGTTATGTCCGAGCAAGGATTTTCTTTGCCGACTTTGATTCAGACGAAATCAATTCCGGCCATCTTATACGGGTATAATACTATCATAACTGCTGAGACTGGTTGTGGCAAGACTCTCGGTTACTTATTGCCAATATTTCAACACATACTGGAGTGGAAGCCAACTGTTCAGGAAGAGTTTAACAGCCCAATGGCTGTTGTAATTACACCTAGCAGAGAATTAGGTAAGTTAATAATCGTGTATATTGGTGTGTATATTGATATTTTTTGGAAATTAAAGACAACAAGAAACATGTATTTTTTATTTTAAAACACATAAGAAAGTAATGATGTAATGATATATGATCTAATTACTATTCAATACTATAAAGAATTTTAATTTTGGTTTTTGAAAGTAAATAAAAATATTCATACTATCTGTATCACATGTCTTACGTAGATAGTATTTCCAATATTTTTTTTAGTAATGGTAATATTATTTCAGAATGTTAGGAAACAGTTATATATTCTTAAAAATATTATAAATGCTAAAGTAACTGTCCGTTTTATATACATTCATGGCTTAACCGCTGGACAGATTTTAATGAAATTTGGGAGTGGAAACTTTGATTCTTGAGAAAGGACATAGGGCTACTATTTACTGTGACAACAGATATACACGAGGCCCGAACTACAGCCATCATCATCATCATCAACAGCCTATACTAGTCCACTGCTGGACATAGGCCTCTCCTTAGAAAGGAGGTTTTGGCCTACTATACCACGCTGGCCAGACGGGTTGGTATAGGGTTTGTTTCAAGTTTTCCTTCTCTTTGCAGTGCTGTTGTCCTGCTTAGTTTGCTCCCTTAGTCGGCTCTTACGACACCCACGGGATGAATTGGGGTGGTGACAATTTGTATTCTTAATCCGTCACCACACGGCCGTAACCACAGCCAGAAGCTAGTAAATCATAATAGTATGTAAAATTTTAGCTACACAAGTAGGAGAAGTGGCACAGAACATAGCGCAGCACCTGAACTTGAATGTAACAACCTTAGTTGGTGGACGCACAAAACGGAAAATGTTAAACCCACCAATAGAATATTGCGATCTCCTTGTCACGACTCTAGGAGCATACAGTAAACTTGTCACAACTGGCATATTTAAAATCAATAATGTACACCATGTAGTTTTGGATGAAGCTGATACATTACTGGATGATAGTTTTGTTGAGAAATTGTCACATTTAATGAAGAAATTTGCAGTGAGTAACTTTACAATTAATTTTGGACTTTGTGAACTAACTGCCACCATATTGGGTGTTATGGGTAGACATATTGCCATTATTTGTGTGAAATCTTTGAGTCTAATATTTAAATGTTAACTTTTTATTAAAAATAAATTTTAAAGCTTCACATCACACAACAACAGCATTTACTAGTCCACTGCTAGACATAGGCCTCTCCTTAGAAAAAAGGTTTTCGCCCACAATACCACACTGGCTAGACAGGTTGGTATAAGGTTTGTTTCAAGTTTTCCTTCTCTTTAAAGTGCTGCTATTCTGCAGAATTTGCTCCCCTAGTCGGCTTTTACGACACCTGGATGAATAGGAGTGGTGACATCCTTAATTCATCACCATATGGACATTTTGATACTTAGCTATGAATTAATGTGCATACAATACTTATGTCTGGTCCCCTGTATTCTAATATGTGAATTCCACATAGAAGTATGCTCATTACATTAATGATGACGGTAGCAGTGGACAAGCACCCTTACATTCTCAAATAACTGTCACGAAGAAAATACATGATACATAGAGAGTTAGAGTATCTTAAAAGAGTGTAATGTGTCAACTATCATAGTGCTACCACCTGTTTGAAATAGCTCCTCATGAACCCACAGGTGTGGCCTGTAATTTAGAGGGAGAAAGACGTGTTCCATACCCGCTTCTCTAAATATAAAGAAACAAGACCCACATACAGGTGGCTTACTTTTATAGGGCACCTGGAAAGACCTGGTGACAGATTACTATGTGGTTTTCGGTGGTGCAAGACTGTCGTCTTGTACCCATAAAAAAATAATAAAGAGAATTGTACAATATAATTTTTTTAATTGGTATATAAAAAAAATTACAGATCCAACACATGGTTAAAATACAAAGTCCACCAAAAGGCTGCCAGCTTACTCTAGTAAGTGCAACAATGCCACAAGAGTTACCAGATTCTGTTAGCTCCTTCGTAGACCCCCAGTCGCTGAAGACTGTCACCACCTCCAACATTCACAGGATACTGCCACATGTGCCTCATAAGTAAGTGAATACTTAAGTGGTTTATGTGAAGCATTGCACCTGCACTCAATGTCAAAACTCAAAAAGTCCAACCGAACGGTTTTTACTAAATTAGCTTGCTCTCGATTTGATCAATTAAATGGAGTTGTCTTTGAGTGAAGGTGCATAATGATTTGTAAGCGATAGAGCATTAAGCAGCCGTAGCATGATGAATAGTGTCAGATTTTTGATCAACTTGTAGTGGATTTAAACCCAGCCCGGTATGTGTGTAGAGTAATTATAGTAAATTTATTATCTTGACATACATTTACTTTGGGTGTCCCTGTTCTAGCGCTCTCCCCAATCACATAATAGATATACCTACAGGTATCTGACCCCTATCTCTTCGAGCTATTGCAGTCTTAGTTCCAGACTTGGTTTTCCATCTGAGACTCGGTATCCCATTTTCAATCACCCCATTCTTTCTTTGTCACGTGAAAGAAAAAAAATATGATATGTTGGTCTTGTGTGTTAGCAAGCATAAATTTCACGTTTCTCAACAATTAATCTCCCCAGGTTCCTCCGACTTGGAAAGGCTCAGAAGCCAGCAGAGTTATTAAAACTAGTTAAGTCAGATATCAACCAGAACCGACCTGTGATGATATTCTCCAACCAAACCTCAACTTGTGACTTCGTCTCGATGTTCCTGAACGAGAATAACGTCGAATGTATCAACATTAATGGGAAGATGCCTGTGCCACTGAAGCTGGGCAAATTTGAACTGTATAAAAGTGGTAAAGTGAATGTGCTATCATGTACTGATATTGCGTCGAGAGGATTGGATACAATAAGGGTGAGTTTCCCATGATTCAAATCTGATTTAGATGACTGCACTGCCGTGTTTTAAGCGATCGCTTCGACGTTACTACTGCACTGAGTGTTGTGGGTTCGATCCCCATAATAGGATAACACTATGTGTGCCTCGTTGTTCTTTGTGTCTGTTTCGTTAATGTTTGTAAAGTACCCGCGACAAAGGATATAGTCCCAGTGCGGGAGTAGTCTTTATAATAAAAAAATAAAACAAATTTAACAATGCCTAAGTATTTATTTTAGAAGTTGGCATTTGGTTACCGTTCAGACGAATATTCGTTTATATTAGTTTACTGGTCCTTGAGAACTCATATTTTTATTCTGTTCTGTTCTGTTACTCAAAAGGGATCATTAAGTTAGAACCCCTTCCCCGAACTTATTCATACCAGCTTCTAAAAATTAACAGAAACATTGTTACCCTAAAATTTAATTTCTTTTTAGACAGAACACATCATAAACTACGATTTTCCCTTATACACTGCTGACTACATCCATCGAAGTGGTCGCACCGGACGTATAGGCTCTCCATCTGGCTGCAGCATCACAAACTTTGTCTCGTGGCCTCGTGAGATACAACTTGTGCAGAAAATTGAGACGTCGATCAGAAAAAATTCGGAGTTGCCCAGTGTGAATGCAAATATTAGAAGGATAATTCAAGAGAGAATTGTTAGAATGTCTGAGAGAGCCTAGATGACGAAGGCCAAGACTGATTGGATGGCTTATTCATCTTTAATAAAGAAAAATGACATCCCAATAAAATATACTAAAGTGTAGCACAACCTACAGTGAAATTTTAGATTTCAATTTGTCGTTAATATGAAAACAGAATATTGCGGCATTATATTTCTGATACTGAACAAACTCAATGCATTCAGTAAGCAATGGACATTGAAATATTAGGTTCATAAACTTAAGAACACCATAGAAAATATAGTAGTACAGGTGTACCACCAAAAATCATTTAATTAAATATCGACTTTTGCTCCGTCACAATAAAGTACAATTCAGGTCGCAGTTTATTACCTAAAAATTGCCTATCGTAAACTATTAAAAAAAACTAAATAAAATTCTTAGTAAGATATGTGCCTATTATTCTTCGTTTGCGAACAAAATACAAATATTGTTTCAAACAAATTTACAACAATGTACTAACTGAATCGATAGTCTAGGTATGAACGAAGAAACGTGTTCGCCGGCCGCCGCACACTGAATTTTTCTTCCAAAAATCGAACCCGCGCGTAGGTACTTCATAGTTAAAGTCCGTGGTACTAAGTGTGTATTAATGTATATACTACTAAGGAGAATAAATGGAAATATAAATATTTAATGCTGTTTTATTATTCTATACATATTCGATAAATTTAATTCGAAAAGCAAAGACGCATGACTTAAATGGTACCAAAGTCCAATGTTACTGTTGTTGCAAATCCTATTAAGGATTTTTAATAGCACAGGGTTTACGGTGTAAATGATTTTAATTAGAGATGAACCTATATCCGGATATCCGATATTCGGCTTATGAGACCTAACTTTGACTGCACGGATGGGGTAGTGGTCGCCACGACGCTCACTACTACGCTGAGTGTTGTGGGTCCGACCCCCATGGGATGACAATTTGTGTGATCCACAAATTGTCTGAGTGTAGGTGTTCTTTGTGCCCGTTTCATGTATGTTTGTAAAGTCCCCAGACACAGGATATATTCATAGTGCGGGAGTTGTCGTTTAAAAACATTATTATTACATTACATTATAAGTCTTCTACTCGGCCGGATATCGGATAGTGAGCAAGTGTCCTTAAATTCTTAAATTTCTTTATTAATTAATTCTCTTTTTCTGTACTACACATTAACTTTGATAGTAGCAGCTGTGATGGGTAGAATAATTAAAACAAAAAATCTATCTACCTAGTATTAGGAACTACAATGTAATAGACACCCATGACTAAAAATGTAACAGTGTTATAAATTAATAATACAACAAAATTAAATATCATTTTCATTTCTTTATACTCCATCGCTGATATGCCATCTGAAATTTGGCAGTGTTAACGCGAGTGAGCGATGCCTGGTGTAGGAAAAAAAGGCAGATTCATATTTAGAAGTTTATTGCCTATTACATATATTTTTCACACGATCTCAAGGTAGTATTCTACACACAAAAGATCCCTCTTATAAACAATTGAACACTCTGGGATCACAATACAAGGGTAAGACTAAACATTTATTTCTAAAAATAAAGTTCTTTACAAGTTCGATAAAAATCTTTTCCGACTTCATTACGATATTGCTTTTATTAAAGACTAATGTTGATATTAAAACTATGATAATGTTACAAAAAAAAAGTATATTGGGGTAAATCGACTGCACGGATGGTATAGTAGTTTAAGTGGTCACCTCGCCGCTTCCTACTGCGCTAAGTGTAGTAGGTTTGATCCCCACATGGGATAACACTTTGTGTGATCTGCAAAGTTCTGAGTCTGGTTGTTTTTTGTGCCCGTTTCATGTATATTCAGGATAGGAATTCCGAAACAGGATATTTTCGTAGTTGTCTTTAAAAAAAAACAAGCCTGGGGATTGGTTTCGAACTGTTTTTATCGTATAATCTTAATATTTTTTTTAAATCACCTTGATATTAATACGACCGATTGGAGTATCTATATATATATATATTATATATATATTGAGATATAAGACTTTGATGTTTGCCTAAACTTTTATTTTGGATAAGCATGACGTATTGGTATTTACATTATTTATCTTAATGAATTCGATGGTCATCATCTATTCCTCTTTTGTCAGTAAATTTCTATCAAAATTACGTGTGCCTTGTTTTATGAGTATATTAAAATAAAACTATATAAAAGAAATAAAAGTAAAGTACAAATTTTATGGTTTTGTATGGATAAAAGTCATATTTTGCTATATTTCATTCCAGACAATGAAATCAATAACAAACATTGAATTTCTTACACTAACTCAGTATTTTATGTCAATAGAAAAGATCTGTGAGTTTCTGAGAAAAAATTAAGTTTGTCCATAACTGTTTTTACCCCAATGCACTTTAGAAATCAAAAGTTGGTTTGTGCCATGACTACAGTCGTTAAAGAATAGCGTTTGCAGATCAGAAATACAGAAAATTTACTAGAATATTCCGAGCAACTGAGCAATACTTTGTCTAAGTTTGAGATATTTTCAATATACTTTTTAATTAATATATTTTAATTACCATAGCTATGTATTATAAGATGTTCTCTACTTATACTACACGATACATTATAATTAGTAACACAGTTTTGTCACACATAATATAAAATTTGAATATTTACAAATGGATGTGATAATTTATTTATGGAGATACCTTTACCATAGAAGTCTTTATAATATGGATCAAAGGTAAAAAAAAATGAGCTTGCCTTGCAAGAATCGCACATGAGATCTCTGGTTTATAGTGTGTTTTTTTTATCTATGCATGAGGTGACATCTGACATCTACCATTTGACGGTCAAAGGGAGAGGAAAAAGGATATTGCTACTTTTAAATCTTATTAATATGATAAAATGATTGGTTTTAGACACTGCGATAAATCACTACTTTGATTTGACAATGATAAATGCGTTCAAAATTAAGCAAACAAAAATCCACATACACTTATTGAATTTTCTTTGTGTCAAATCGATACGATCTTTTTTTTTAGATTGAGACTTTTCGCGAGTCAGGCGCTAGCGTAATCATAATCATAAGACGCAGTGATTTTGTAAATTGTTTGTAGGTATGATTATATTTATAACAGGTGATTGTAATTTTATTCCATTGCTGAAATTTATGGAGAGTAGAAGTATAGAGAATCATCTTTGTGTATGTAAAGTGTCCTTCTAGGGTGGCGCAGAGGCATCAGAGTAAATTTTTAAGAAAGCGCCTAAAGTTATTAAAGTAGGATAGAGAGCACATGGAAATAAAAAAAGAAAAAGATACTGCACTAGACTGCGAAAACAATTAGAGGACGGACAATTAAAGTGTAATAAATATTTACAGACACTAAAAGTACTTTAACTCAGCAAAATTCACTCCGGCTATGGCTGCTTTGTTCTTGTCATTACTTTTGGCTACACTAGCGCCATTCTGGTAGTTTTGAAACTATTATTTGTTGCTTTTTGCTGTACACTTTTTCTATTTGCTTTCCATACGACATAGTGCTCCTAATCTCTACACCCCAAGTAAATTGTAATCAGCTTAAAATGCCCGAAACTAAAAAAAGAACTGTCACAATTTTGTCTATGTCTGGTCTGAGACTTGGAGTGCCAGTTTCTAGGCACTTTAAAAAGTCAGAAATAAATTAAACATTTCCTAGAAGAAGTATTGAATAAAGATTAATAATAAATAATCAATATTAAAAAGACCCTCTAAAGAGGTTACAATAAAAGAAAACAACAGACTTATTAAGAATAATAAATATCTACTCCTTGGTGTCAATTTTCCTTATTGGTGTCATAAACAATAATTGTTTATGGTCATCTTACAATTAATATAGTTATATACAATGAACTACATAACTAGATACACGCATATCTTATTGGTTTTCAAATAGTAGTTGTAATAAGTTTATTGTTATGTACAAAAATCTAGAAAATTCTACATAGTTTAAAGTCATTTTTGTGATGCAATTAGTCGAGTTAAATCTACTTTAGCTACTTTTCTTAAAATTTACACGGTGATTTTGAAAGCGTTTTGGAAAAGAAAATTTTGAATTATTTATCAATAACAGAAGCTATATATAACGTTAATTTAATAAAATATATTTTTTTTTTTCATCAAAGTCGATATTCATACCGTTTACAGAGAAAAAGTGAGAACCAGTAGTAGGTATATTCAATCACACGTAGGTAAATACTACAAATAGAAATACTATGCGTTTTAATATCGTGTCACATCACATCAATCGTATTCGCCAATAAAAACAAACCGAGTTGCGCCAGAGTCGTCCAACCAATGACGGCATTGCACTGAGGCGCATGCGCGGGACTCACCTGTATGTAATCCTCCTTCCCAGTCGGTCAGTAATACCATAACATCGTGACGGCACGCTACATTGATTAGCGCTAAAATGAGTCGACGGTACGAATTTTCAAACGTGGAGTACTTGGCAATGGTACAGTTGTACGCTACTGCCAACTACAACTTGGAAGAGGCTCGGCGTTTGTATTCCCAGCCGGAGCATTTAAATGCACTACGGCTACGTGGAATTGAAAGCCCTCAAATTCCCTCCACACCTACCATCTTGGCTGCAACCCAACGTCTTCTCGACCACGGACAATTTCGTGCGCCTACTCATGCGCAAGGTCAAGGACGTTTAAATTATTATTCGCCGGAGTGTAGTGCGTGCATACCTGGACAATGAGTTTAGTGATCGGTGGATAGGTCGAGGAGGGCCTGTGCCTTGGCCACCTAGAAGCACGGACTTAACGCCCCTGAATTTTTTCTTATGGTCGGAAATAAAAAAAACTTGTTACACGGGAATATTAAAGCCGTGATGATTTACGCATTGCGATAGTGGACGCTTTTGTTAAAGTGAAAAGTGATAGAGACACATTAAGAAAATTAAAAAACAATTGCATTAAACGTGGACTTTGTTTTTGAACGCAGCGGACCCCATTTGGAGCGGTTTCGATAAGAAAAGGAAATAAACTGTAAATAGGTATGAAGTTAATTTTTCATAGATAGCTACGTTTTTTTAAATACGCCGAAATATTTATCCCTACAGTCCGTTGATAAAATTGATTTTGTGAAAAGAACAATCGGGGTTAAAATTCAAAAAGAAGTTTAATAAAAAAGGTATTTCCCCGCGGTCCAACCCTGTAAAAGTATGAAGGACAAACGGGGTCTATTCGAAGTACTCGCTAGCTCGCGCCTTAGGTTATTTTTATCAGCTGTTTAGGTAGCGGTGCGCAGCGGCCGCCGAAACGCGCACGGGACGTGTTTTATTCATATAAGATAATGAATGAATGATCAGTGCATTAGGTACTATCCAAGTCGATCGAGTAAAAATGAATGTTAAAACTGAAACTTTTTTTTAGTCAACATTTCATTTCATTTTCATTTCATTTCAAACTCAAACTCAAACTCAAACTCAAACTCAAACTTTCTTTATTTCATAAAATTTTCAAAATTGTTTGAAATCGTCTTCCATGTAGACTCTAAAGTCAAGACAAAAATAAAAGCAAAAATCTCTTTTTTGTAAAATGAAACCAAAAAAATTTTAAACAAAAAAACCATACAAATCAAAGGGTTCCTGTCCCGATCTAAAAACCCCCCCCCTTTCCCAAAGGGTTGAGCCTTATAGAAAAAAGGGGAGAAAAAAAACTCAGGGCCACTCTTTTGTTTCACAATAGATACAATGCCTAAAAATATATCACAACATTTTTTTTGATTTTGGGGAAGTATGTCCGTTTTTAAAGGGACTTAAAGGTAAAAAAACAACAAAGAAAAAAACAAGTTTAAGAAGAAAAAAACAATAAAAGAGAAAATAAATTGAAACATAAAAATAGAAAAAAAAAAAAAAAACATACTACCAACCCTTTTTTACTTAAAAAAGAAATACCCTGGCAAATTTAATCCAACATTCTTGCCTCCTGTAACCAATCGAGTAGTGGGCCCCTCGGGCACAAGCCACGTTTTTTTTGCGGGTTTAAATTTGTTAATTAAACCCGAATATATTGGGATTTTTTTTTTAAACGGACACATTGACCCCGAAAAGACTTGTTTATCTTTTTAGCCTAGAGGCGGGGACAAAAATTTATTTTTATTTTGGATTTATGGCATGTACATCACTTTTTTTCAAAAAAAATTTTATTTTTTTGAACATAATTACTTTTATAAAATATTGAATTTCCACTGTCTTTTAAATTTTTTTTTTTTAAATTTTTTGCCTCAATGAAAAAACGATTGCCTAAATTATAAAATTCGAATGCTCTCTTTTGCGCACAAAAAAAAGTTTTAAGTCGGCAGATTTCCCCCCCAGCAGAATACCTACACATTTTTGTATGAAAGAACTAAGTAAACAAGTCGGGGTGTAAAAAATCAGTCAAAATTCGGATTTTTCTTTTGCGTAGCTGTGACTGAGTTACTCGACAATTTATCAATATGTGGGCCCCAGTAGCTTACATCTAGGTTATACCTAAAAATGTCGTAGTGTCCACAAGGTCCAGCCCGACATCCTTAATTATCACAGTTTTTTTACTGGGTTTACGTTTGGGATATGAAACGTATACACTTAGTTTTTTTTTTCATTAATAGTAAATTGTTGACATCAAACAATGAACCACTTTTGAAAAGCGCTGTTTAAAATGTGAAATCAGAAAGGTCCTTTTAGTCTAAAAAATAGTGATGTACACTGCAAAAAACACAATCTCGAGATTGTCCCTTTACAAAGTGAGGGAATCGTTAATATATACTAAAAAACAAAAAAAAGGCCCGGAATAGAACCCCTTTGGGAACCCTTTCTATCACAGAGCCTGGAGACCGCTCACCTTTTAATATCAACTTTTGAACCCTATTACATAGATTGAGGAAAGTAGTTCAGGGCTTTTTTTTTTAAACCCATAGTGCTGTAATTTTCTGTCGTTTTTCAAACAAACAATCAAAAGCCTTAGATAAATCGCAAAAGATACCTAGAGAATCGTGGGCATCCTCCCAGGCATCAAATATATGTTTTACTAGCTCAACACTAGCATCAGTTGTGCATTTATTTGACAAACAATTACATACAAAATTATACAAATTACAAATTTAATCAAACAAATACATTATATTACAATTGATTTAACCATTTTTATTGGTACTATAGATGATTCCAAATTAAAATGTTTCGTTTCCAAAACGCCTATAAAATCACCGTGTATATCAGCAAATAAGTTCCACTAAGCATAAAATGGAGCTAAAAATAGAGCATTACAATTTTCTTATGTTTTAATTTGATCCTAACTAAGATCAATGATGTTTTCATTTTGATTTTTTTCCTATTGTTGTTGAAAAAAACAAACAATAGTGAAAAAATGCAATTCAAATTTACTTTTGTGCCCGTAAATTGATGCAAATGTTAAACCGCCACGTTGGTTCTTCATCATGACATTATATCGATCAGATTATAAACTTATTAATAATGAATCAAATCGCATGCATTAAAAAAGGGACGGTCTTTAAAATTTATACACTTATGTCGTACAAGTCTAAGATATGTTTCCTTCAATTTGAAGATGACGAATAGAGGAATGTGGCTGGCAGCGGATGGATACAGACTGCCCAAGACCGAGATAGCTGGCGTGACTTTCCTTGGGTTAGGCCTTCGTTCAGTAGGGGTGCTAGGCTAGAAAACCTCCCCGTGGTGCACCCTGGAAACGCTGGCGATGGCACTGTTTCCTCCTTGTCCACTTGGAGGAGAGGATTATCGCCAGCGGCTAATATTCTAGCAGAAGAGGAAGCCGTTCATCGACTCTCGGGCAAGGCCTGGTCCAGCAGGGTGGGCGTGTCTGCCGGTTGCCCTGCTGGCTCTTCGCTCTTCGGAGCATGGAGGAGGAAACCTCGGTAAAAACCCGGATGGCGGGGCCCTGTAGCGGGCCGGCGCTAGGAGGGGTCCGGATGTCTTAATAACAGCTGTTCCCGGATCCCTCCTATTACAGGCGCAGAGTGGCACACCGTGTGGTTTTAGTCGGTCCGACACACCACCCGGTGGGGTGACGGTCCGAGGGGATTTCCACACGTAAAAAAAAAAGGCCTTCGTTCAGTAGTGGACAGCGATAGGTTGATGATGATGATGATAGTATTCATGAGGGTTTCCCCTTTTTTTTTTGTAAATGGTTAAATTGAAACACACAAAACAAAAGAAGAATTCTCTATAATCGCTCAGCATTAAGGCCTAGTCAAACAGCGAGTAGTAATGTGCAAGGCGGGACGGAAACTTTTGTATTAAATAGGAGATTACGTCCCGTCCCACCTGCTGTCTGCCCCAACCATAAGAGTCATACGTGCAATTTGTACTGTAACTATACTATGTCCCTACTATGATTTTCCATTACAAATTATTCTGTAATTAATTATGTTACCTATATAGATTTTTTTAGATTAGCTAGATTTACGAGATATATTTTAATTACTTGTTTATATCCAGACCTTTCAGTGTCTTATTGCTTTAGTTTAATATAATACTTATTTATTTTAAACTAGATGGTACCTGCGACTTCGTTCGCGTGGAATTTGAAAAGCACTGCCTTAATGTCCATGTCCAGTCCATGCGAACTCGGGTTCGATTCCCGGACAGGGCAAAATTTGAAAAGGTTTTTCAGAGAGGTAAAATAGTCTTAGTTACTCCTTATGTAGACAGCTACCTGGTGGTAAAATATTATCAAAATCGGTTCAGCCGTTTTGAAGCTTATCAGAAGAAAGGACAGACGGACAGAAAATATTTAAACTGGTTTTAAGGCATAGGTACCTATAGTGCAAATAACCGTGTGAGCATGAAAAAACCTATTACTTTAACATTATAAACAGACACTTTAATTTATTTATTTGGATAGACTATAGATTTGGTATCGAATTTATGTTATACTTTCTTGTTAAGTAGGTATATCTTGGTTTAAGATCTTCTAATGGAGTACATACATCAATATGAATATAAAGAGTGAGACCTGCAAAGACTGCGGGTAGATCGAAAAAAAAAAATCTTTTATTTTTCTTTCGGCTTCAAAGTCAGGTTTTTCCTTTGTTTGTCATTTGAAATAAATTATATAGGTATATACCATACTTTTATAACATTTTTATTGTTATAAAGTTGACTATAAATGTTTCTTCTTTGACGAAAGAAGGGAAGGGAACATCCGGGTTCTATTCATCCGGGAACACAGGAGGGGTCATCTATAAGCCGTAGATGGCCCGAGGTACGTCGAGGTACCAGGGCTTTCCTTTCTAGGGTATACCTGGTTCCCCGGCTACTGGCACCTGGAGACGGCGTGCGGTTTTTGGATGGTTCGAGTCCGACATAATCACCCACTGGTGGGTAGTATCCGAGGGGAGTACGCACAGAAAAAAAAGGGCACCTATCAGTTACCTATAACACACATTGTAGTACTCGCAGATATAGTAATTAAAACAATTCCTTCGCTTCTGACCACTGTTATTGTCTATAACTCATTTTTTTTTATTTTTTGTTACCATGATCACATTGTGACCTAATCCCTCGACGTTGACGGACCAGGTCTCGCATCCTCAGTAGACTTCCATCTGCTTTCCAATATGGACTTGCCTCTACAATCTTGGTTCACGTTTTGATGGCTATACCTTCGTTGCTCTTCAAAAACCCTTGCAGTCATACTAAAAACACAGTCAGCGCTGGCTTTCCTCTTCGTATCCAGCGTAGTGAGACTATTGCCAGCAGATGGAGATATTCTATGAGGAAATCTCGGAGAACCTTTAATCCTTTCGCTGGAATTTTGATGAGACATTGAGCTTTTATGAGTAGTCGGCAAAACGAAGTTGACCTTTGTCTCCGGTTCAGCAATATATTTCTGAGGACCTAAAGGCTGTGGGTCATAGGAACACGAAGGTTCATCATCCGTCACTCGAATTATTGGCCCACTTTTCGCATAAGATTCTCTTCTTAACTTCAACTCTGGGTGTGGAACATGAAGAGTATTGCACGATAAGACCATAGAGTGTTTCCTATTGCCAGGAACGAGACCAGCTATCATGCCGACATGCATTTTTAATGCTGATGCAATACTTTGACCGCTTGGGTCTGCTATAGACATTGTAGATGCTTTCCTACTTGAAGGTCTACTGCCAAAGAAGCTTTTTAGTCTGCTAAGTAAACCTGTATGTTCTTCTCTTTTGTTTAAGCAAAGATTGTATAAATCAATAGCTGGTTGGGATTTCCGATAGTTGAGTTTTGGCTGAGAGCTAAAACTAACTGAGTTTCTCCCTCGATAGGCTTCAGCGGATGGCCAACTTGCTCTAGGAATGACTGGAGGAAGAACTGACAGAAGTAGCATGGGGAGACCGCCGCTTACGCTTGGTGTGCGTCGGTCGACATTAGCACGGGTTATTCCTTCTTCATCTACGGTGTTGAGTTCAGTCTGAAAACATATGTAATTGTAATAGAAATAAAGATTTATCTTACCACTCGTATCCACTACACTTTGCACTATTTTCTGTTTATTTTATGACTGCTCTTAAATTCCCTTTGAAAAACAGACAATCGCTTGAAAATGGAATCATCATCAGTCAAAGACCTGCCCTCTTGATCAAGACATATTAGATGTCTAAATTAGGACTTCATCGTGATAGTATTTATAAGGTACAAAAGATTTTTGGTCACCTAACGTTTCGATTGAATTGCGCTGATCGTGATGATTGAGAACTGTAAATTTTCTGTTAAAAATCTTGCATTATTTGAATAAAATATGAAATTGAAACAGTAATATCTTAATGGAATGTCAACATTTTTAAATTATCAAAAGAAACTACTCACCCTCCTATGCAATACAATAGACGCACTAGATCCACTACCAGAATCCAGAGGCTCAGCTAACAATTTTTCCAGCCGCCCAATCTCCTTGTCCAGTGCTGCCACCTCTCTTCTATACACTTTGTTCTGGATTTCTATCCTAAAGTGCAGTTCTTGCGTTTCATCCGTAACGAATCTTCTGGTCTTACATTCTAATCTCAATCCTAAGCTCTGTATCACAGGGTCGTCTTCAGCTGAAACGTGATTTTAAATAAGTAGAGTTTTATTTCTTAATGGTAATAGTAGGCAATCAAGCAAATGGGTAATCTGATGGTAAGTGATCACCGCCATTCATAGACAATTGCGTTGCCGCCCTTTGAGTGCCTATTATATATATAACACATAATTATCTAACCATTCAGTATCCAGCTTGGATTTAATGACATGTTGTTGACATACTCTACTCGTATTGGTAAATAACTTTTGTACTTCTAAGTTCAAAATGTCAATAGACTATTTTGTTTTTTTTAGATAAATATTCAAACTGAAATACAACGCCATCTATTTTTAAACTAAGCAGAGCTCGTACTATGAAAGCTAGATTGACTGTTAGAAGACTTATATACTTTTTTTTGTAAATACATACATATAAGACATACAAAACACCCAAACTCCAAAACAAATATTTGCAGATCATACAAACATTTGGTTCGACCCTGGAATCGAACCCGAAAACCTCAACGCAGCACCGATGCCATTGAGCATGATATATATGAAACATGAGTAATCATAGAGGTCTGAGCTCTCTGACCACTTAATTTCTGTCTATTTATCGTGATTAATAATACGGATTGTCACCACCCCCAATTATCCCGTGGGGGTCGTAAGAGCCGACTAAGGGAGTAAAATACGCAGGATAACAATACTGCAAAGAGAAGGAAAACTTGACACAAACCCTATATTAACCCGTCTGGCCAGCGTGGTATAGTAGGCTAAAACCTCCTTGCTAAGGAGAGGCCTATATCCAGCAGTGGACTGTTAAAGGCTGTTGATGATGATGATGAATAAAAATGTATACTCACATTTTGTTCTTATAGCTACAATCTTAGGTAAGAACAACAGACATAGCGTAGACGTTGTCGTAATCAATATCAAACTAGTTATAGATATGTAAGCTAAAGTTGCCCGTTCAGAAATAATGGTTCCTATTACGACAACACTAGCGCTTGTGATGACCACGGAGTACACGCTGATGCCGATATATTTAGAGTCGTTTAGAGCCGATATCTTGACGTTCCTCGTCTCCCAGGCCATATAGACTCCGACGATGAGGAGTAAGCCCTTGTAGGCGTAAAGAGCGCAGAGCCAACCTGTCGTGTTTTGTGATTTGCACACTTCTATCTGAAAGGGAAATGCCGATGGTTCAGATCTTCATAATAATGAAGAAGTGTTTTATCTTCTAAAGAGTTTAAAATAACAATAATAATAACTTCACACATCTCACACACGGCAGTCTGGCCCTAAACTAGGCAGAGCTTGTACTGTTTAAACCAGATTGCTGATAAACATACTTATACATATATTATAGATAAATTATATCCAGACACAAAACAAAAGATCGGTTTTCATCTTCATTATGTTTTGGAAAATCTTAAATGGAACTTTTACATGAAATTTGTAAATTTATTTTGCTAGAATTAAAAATTTCAATAATATTATACTTATTTTAAGTAAGTAATATTATGAATAAAGATACCATTTAACTATCTTTATAACTTAAGCCTAGACGCGTGGCATTAGACTTCCATCTTATAAAAAACATGGTATCCGTGTTCAAATACAAGGACCTAGGCGCTAACAATAGTTATCTGTGTCCAGCACATTACTACTAGTATTTTTCTCCTATGAAAACACATCCAAAAACATTAGCTTTAAGTTAACCGTGCAAGATACTTTATATCTAACCTGAGGTTGATAGATGACTCCTCTATCTGTGGCGCTTATCTCCGTGGTCAAGTTCTTTAGATGTCTTTCCATTGGATCGAGCATAGCCCAAAGAGTTACTATCATGCCGTCGATCACCAGCAATGCGCAGACTAGCGAGATAAGCGGTGTGTCTTGAAGAAGTTTGGTCTTGCAAACTCCGCTGCGGTTACTGCAAGGTGGAAATGGATTTAGCAGAAGACGGACTTTGTAAGTATTCAACATCTAAAGTAATGTAGGTTTTTACTGTTTACGTCAACCATAGCGTTAAGACGACAGCAATGCTGTATGTAGTAAAAAATATAAAGAAATTCAATGATAGAAAATGAGTTTAGTTTCCAGAATTCGGCGAGGGAATTCTTTATATCGCGATACAGGATTAACAATTCTTATTTTAGTAGTTACTCCGTAGTTCGGTGTGTCTTCATTAGATGGCGCTGTAGTATGTTTCTGTTTCTTTGAATGTGGGAGTCGCCACAGCAGGTGTATTACACACCTTTTCCATTTTTGGAAACCAGAATTTTGTTTTTCTTTTTTGCTGTTTTCGCGATCTAAATTGACATTACTGCTACTTATTGAGCTAAGACATGTTGTAAATATATATAGTATATAGTTTTATTTTGATGTTCGAAGGCTATGTTTTTCATACACATTCTTCTGAGCGTAGATATAAGCTGTGACAGTTAAAACATATTTTGGTCTTTAAAATTATAAGAAGAAGGTTTAAAATGTAATTACCTTACAAATATCCTGTGTACCCTGTATGTTTTTGCAAACATGGATCCGAATGCCAAAGAGAAACCTGCTGAAAGGATGTAGACTCTGCCCTGGAAACAATGTATTCAGTTATTTATATTAGTTCTATCAACAAGAGCCAATTTGATAATCTTTATATTACCGATTCTCGAATAAAAACTAAAAAACGATTTATCCTCGTGTCTGCTTACGCAATGGCGGAAACTACAATATGTGTAATAAATTTACTGCCTAGTAAGCTTTTTAAAATAAAGATTGGTATGTATTGCAAATCGAGAAAAGTTTAAGTATTAAAATTGGATCAGACAGCGGGCGGGACGGGCAGCATTTGTAATACGAGTAGTAGTCGTATACTACCGTTACTAGGCAATTATCGGCCGTAACGGCTTTATGTGCCACTTTCTGCATTAGTGCACCGCTCGTCGCGAGCCGCCCTTCTCCGTACACTGTCTGGCCTGACTTTTACATTCAGTTGGAAAACAATCTAAAGTATGACGTCACAATCTATTGTTTGACCATTGATAAAGAGAAACAAATTTGACGTTACTGTCAACTATTGTCTACTGTCAACCATCGTCTTCCTAGTTATAAATCTATTATATTATTAGAATGTCTACTAGTAGTAAGTTAACTTACAGTACACATGGCTGAAAACGGTACATAGGAGGGTAACGTCGCGTTGTCTACACCCAGAAGTGCCACTGCAGTGTAAACCAACGCACAGCCAATCAGAGTCATGTTATTTAGTCGAGGAGATGACAGCTTTATTGACCTGGAAAATGAAAAGTGTTTTTTTTATGTAAGACATCTAATGTGAAGGGTCAGATCTGCTGTTAGCTTAGAGACGCGTGGCCATGCTGTTTTTGTTTAAAAATCTGAACATCATTGTGCTATATTTATTTTTTTCTTTTATAAGCTATTCTTTTATACTTATTATTTCTACAAAATAGATGCCAGATGTCCCGCGATTTTTTTAAATTCATCAACAGCCTTTAACAGTCCACTACTGGACATAGATCTCTCCTTAGAAAGGAGGTTTTGGTCTACTATACCACGCTGGCCAGGCGAGTTGGTATAGGGTTTGTGTCAAGTTTTCCTTCTCTCTGCAGTCCGGTTGTCCTGTGTAGTTTGCTTCCTTGGTCACCTTTTAGGACACCCACGCGGGTGAATAGGGGTGGTGACACTCTATATTACTAATTCATCACCACACGTCCGCACATCCATACCTGGATAATATTTATCCTTAAAAGTTGGACAGAAGTAATTTTTGTTTATTTTCGTACACCTTCAAGAAAATAACCCAAATGCAATGTTTCATTGAAATCAAGTGTTCCATCAACGCAAAAATGGATACCCTTTATTTAAATTTAGCCCAGTTTATGAACAAGTAAATTACAAATTAGTTTATGATATCTAAAATAAATAAAAACCTACCGTCGTTTGCTGTAATGTAAATTAAAAACTAGGAATGCCAAAGCCAAGGCCACTCCTAAAGCTGCCAGCGCCGCTACCGCTAATCTAGCAGGTGCCCACACTGAGTCCACTCTCAGGACTAGCAATCTTCTTGCAGCGGGTATGCCTCCAGCCCATTGAGGTTTGGTGCATTCGGTACAGGTCATTTCTCGCCCATGGGTATATAGGGCCACTGTTTTTGGTCTTCCCCCTGGAAGGTAAACCTTAGGTAAAATACTCAGAAGACAGATACCCACTACCTATATATACAAAGAATAAATAATTTTTCTAGCACAGAAAATTAGCACGAAGATTAAGAAGATGGAGGTAATTTATTAAAACACAAGACAAGACATTCTTTCGGGTCTGCAACTGGAATAGGAGAAAATCGAGCACATGGGTCACATGATGATAAGTGACTTCCGTCGCTGCCCCCTCCCCCCCGAAATACAAGGTATTTTCGGTCAAAAGCAACGATAGAATTGCTTAACACCGGTTTTGTGCGGCAGTTGGCTCTCCCACGATCAAGATCTTTAAATAACTGCATCATATGTCCTAGAATGTTATTCCTAGGGTTATAAATATGACAGGAAATTCAATTCAATAACGTTACTATTAGATTATTTCTTTTTATATATAAAATTCTCGTGTCACAATGTTAGTTACCATACTCCTCCGAAACGGCTGGACCGATTTTTATGAAATTTTGTGTGCACACCGGGTAGGTCTGAGAATCGGCCAACATCTATTTTTCATACCCATAAATGATAAGGGTGACCCCAAAAATTTTTTTTTCAATATTTCCTAGAAATAATGTATATGGCAAAACAACGTTTGCCGGGTCAGCTAGTAATTATATAGAATAAAAATAAAATCATATCATCAAGATCATACGAGTACCTTGAATCTGATAAAATGCAGATGTCCCTATTCTGTCAGCTCCATTAAACGATACTGGTCCCTGAAAATAATAAGTATGTTATTATCCTACTTAATACTACCATTGGGAAAGCCTCAGTTACCCAGGTTATTGGTATAGGTCTATTGATAATAATTAGGGATCTGGTTCCTGGTCTAGAGCTGAATATATTATAATGGGAGCGAGAGATGACATTATCATAAGTGTCTAAGGACCGAAGTTACGCAACCAAAGTTCGGCGTGATTACGTCTGTAATGCTATTTAAATTTCTTACGACAAAATTGCCGAAATTACGCCGAGTTATAGTTTTTTTTATGGTATAAGGGGGCAAACGAGAAGACGGTTCACCTGATGGTAAGCAACTACCGCCGCCCATGGACACCTGCAACTCAAAAGTCACAAGTGCGTTGCTGCACTTGGAGTCCCTCCCGCTCGAGTCAGCGGGAGGGGGGATTTGGGCTCCGGTAACCTCCCTCACTCAGTGAAAGGAAACGAAAGAATTGCTTAACACCGGTTTTCTGTAAGGCCGAGTACATCCGAACTTCGGTTGGTTCGGTTCGGTCTAGTGTTCAGTGACCCTGATTGCTAAACCCGAGGTCATGGGTTTTATTCCCAACGTAGACAAATTATTTTCTACTTTTTACGATTTTACTATCGTTTGTTCTGTGTCTGGGTGTTATTTACCTATAATATGTAAAGTCTGGTTACCATGATATAGGCTCTGCCTCGTTTGGGATCAGACGGCCGTGTGTGAGATGTGTAAGATTTAAAAAATCTAAAAGCTCGTGTTCTGATACTTATGACTGCCGTTATGTCGATAGTATTCACTTATTGACTGAGGTGCGCACAGAACCATATGGTGCAAGTCCTAAACTTAAGTCTCTTTCAAACACTAATAAAACATTGGCAACAATTATCCAGTAACATAAGGAACATACACACACAGAGAGAGGGAGAGACAGAGAGAGAGAGGGAGGGAGAGAGAGAAGGAGAGAGGGAGAGAGACACGCTCACAAATACACATTCAACATGCACGCAATGCACGTATATGTAGATACCCCACACATTCCGTATACAACAGTGTTACTAAATAGTTATCCTAATTATCCCTATCCCTAATTAATATTGAAAGTTCGCAAATATTTAAATAATGTAAGTAGTTCTACTTTCTTATTGTAACCAGTAGTTTTATTTAATTTAGCTTTGAAACTGGAAGGTAGCTGGTACTTATAGCACAGGATATCCTATTTTAAGTACCAGCAGAATACTAGAATTAGGATTTTTGTACCTCTGTTGAGAATTCTACTACTATGTACCTACTTGTATATTGTGCCAATAAATAAATTTATTATTATCACAAAATAACACACAATTAGTGCTCAGTAACTCACCGACACTCCAACAAAACTGAGGTTAGCTATCTGATCCAAGAACTCCTTCGCCATATCCTGTCTGTCATAATCAAAGTGGCTAAGTCCAAGTCTGGTGATGTTTGTTCCATTATTCTGCCCAGGGCCCAATGTTCTCCATAACTGTTCCGATTTGGTGAGAGCTAAGGCTATAGCCCACACTGCGTCGTAAGTTTGGGGAGCATAAGGAGACACAGGCACCCCAGCTGCCTCCATTTCTCGGTGGAACATTTCGTTCGTCTAAAAGTTATTTTCATGCGTTAGGCAATTAAGATAGATAGTTTTTTATGGTATAGGGCAGTAAACGAGCAGACGGGTCACCTGATGAAAAGTGACTACCGCCGCCCATGGACACCTGTATCCTACGAGTCACAAGTCCGTTACCGGGCCCTTTCAGCCCGTCCCCCCAGAACCTGAAGGAGGGGGAGAGTTTGTGCTCCGGAAACCTCACTCACTCGTTGGAAAGCAATGAAATACACAGGTGAGGCCATCTGTCACCCTAGCAGAAGCAGTCCGGGTTGGGGACGCGCTGTGGACCTCGCGCAGCCTTTAGGTTGTAGCAAAGGGACACCGTAGTTCCCACATACCAGGGGGTCATCTACAAGCCGTAGATGGCCCGGGGTCCGATGGGGCTCTAGGGATTTCGGTTTTTGGTCGATTCATGCCCGACATTACCACCGGTAGGTAGTATCCGAAGGGATTTACGCACAGACGAAAAAAAAAGCCCATGTGTGCAAAGGCGTAGTTCTCTTACGTTAAAGTTCTAAGGTACGTCTGTGAAAGTAAAAAAAAAATACTTACCAGGCCCGAATAAGATTCTGTGTCGCCAACAATCCCTCTATGCGCAGTGACAGTCACGAGTCCTTCTAAAGCACGAGCCAGCTGTGCACGCGCACACGGTGCCGCAGTACGGATCCGCGGAGGCATACCGGAGACCAGCCACGCATACTCAGCCCCGAACATCCCTAATCTAAACGCCTGCAGTCACAACACGTAAATACAATTTATAAGCCCTTTTAACATTAAGATACGTTTAAACGTGGATTACTTTTATAACTAACTATTATAGAGGCAGTGGCGTAATGGTTAAAAACATCGTTCTAGTGATTGAGTAGTTATAGGTACTACCGTGCCCAGTTTACTCCACCAACCACTCCTAACACAGGCGTCTAGCTTACTCATAAAGATTAACAAGATAACTATAGTCCATCAATGTCGTGCGCGACTGTCCTGCGGGGTTACAGACGGTGGCGGGAACGAGGTACTCAAGATGTCAGCGGGTAGCGGGTGGTGTAGCGGGGAAGGGAAACGCGTGCAGCCGTGTGTAGCCGTGTGCTAGAATGTCGCGCTACCTCGCCCCCGCCACTGTCTGTCACCCCGCGGGACGGTCGCGCACGAGATTGCCGGGTTATAGTACCTAATGTGTGACCTACAATTGTATTAGTCTTTAAAAAAAAGTGTATGTGTTGTCGGCATTTTGCAGGACGATCTTATAAATATCAAAAGTACTCAGTAATTGACCGATTAAAGATAAACATGTAACGACCAAAAAATATCAATATGTAATTATGTTAAACCAATTATGTTAAATATCAGTCTCTTCTCTTGTTATTATTGATTGGACACTGGCTACCAAGAACTTTTGATTAGGATCAGTTTTATTGTCAGTTGACAATTATGATGACTACCCTGTGGAAGTGGTTATGTTGATCTAGTGGTTAGAAATCTGACTGCTGAGACAGAAGCAGTATCTACATTCAAACTTCAGCCAGGACTGTTAATTATATGAAAAGCAGGGTTTTTTTCTTATGTTGTTTTTTAGGTTTAATTTTCCTATTTCACTTTCCAATAGTACGTTAAATACGAGATCCGAGACTCATTATAAATGCTAGGTGAATGTTACAGAATTTTCCTTATATTTTATTCTACGCTGAACTGACCTCACAAAATATCTTCGGGATCATCTCTTGGGAGAAACTGCCAATGATGATGCGGGTGTCCAGCTCCTGTAAATAATAAATAATTCATTAATTCATAGATGTTACGATCACACGGCATAATTTTATTTACGTAGTTATAGTTTTATTCACAAAGATTTAAATATTAATACGCGAAGAAAATTATTCATGCCCATATTGAAAACTATGTCAGACACAAAGTTTTTGTACACTAATAATATAAAAAATATTGGACTCGTTTAAAATCGGCTCTTTTTATAACGAAAACGTTGTTTTGCCATATACATTATTTAAAAAAATAATTAAAAAAAATAATTGGGGTATGAAAAATAGATGTTGGCCGTATCTCAGACCTACACGATATGCACACAAAATTTCACGAAAATCGGAGGAGTTCAACCACGCACACCGTGACACGAGAATTCTATATATTAGATATTTCACTTCTAAGCGTGAAATTAAGGTATGAATGAATTATATAGGTAAGTTGAAATCGTCAAGCTTTCTAGGTATAAATACTTAGATAATCATAAAATATATAGAAACCACGGATTACACGGTGGTCTAGTGTTTTCACTTGCGAGTCCTCCGACTTTTCGGCAGTAAATAATTCGAGATATGCAATCCCGACCTGTTCGAGCATTAGGTTACGTTTCTTCAATCCATCTGCTTTCTTTACCTTCCTTCTATTCTTATTCACTTGTATTTGCACGGGTGGCGTAGTGGTTTAAGCGGTCGCCACGCCGCTTACTACTACGCTGAGTGGTGTGGGTCCTATCCCCACATGGGACCACACTTTGTGTGATCCACAAATTCTCAAATCTGGGTGTCCTTTGTGTCTGTTTCATGTATATTTGTAAACTCCCTTGCGACACAGGATTTATTCCTATTGCGGGAGTTGTCTTTTTAAAAAGAAAAAAGATAAAAGATTTCGAACATACTTTCTGAGAGGCTATGCGTGGCTATGCGGTAAATGAGTAGGTTAACACATTGCAAAGTTAAGCAATCCTAGACAGGTAGATGGATGGGTGACCATTCTTAACATCCTGAGCACCTTCGTGCTTCGAAGAGCACGTTAAGCCGTTAGGCCCAGTTGTCATACGAACATCAGTGACAACCGTTAGGGGGAAGTTGGGCCATATAAAGTTCGACAGCAGTCTTTCTGCAGAACTTCGATATCGCTTAGTACTTAGGTTCTAGAGGTCTGATGGACGCTCCGCTTAAAAAATCGAAGTTCAGCCGTAACGTAGTAGACTCCGTGTGACGTAGACGTAGTGTCCGTGTGGTGACGGATTAAGAATACAGAGTGTCACCACCCCTATTCATCCCGTGGGTGTCGTAAGAGCCGACTAAGGGTAAAAACTACGCAGAACGACAGCACTGCAGAGAGAAGGCAAACTTGACACAAACCCTATACCGACCCGTCTGGCCAGCGTGGTATAGTAGGCCAAAACCTCCTTTCTAAGGAGAGGCTTATGTCCAGCAGTAGACTGTTAAAGGCTGTTGATGATGATGTGTGATGAAGTAGACTTAAGGCCGACCCCAAAATAGTGTAGGAAAAAGGCTCGGGGGAAGACTTCGAGTATACTTCAAATTTTCCTATCTAATTCCTGAATTGGCGGATTGACGATAAAAGGCTTATCTTTTTATGTAAGTGAGACTATCATTATAGAGCTATAGACTACCTCGGTGGTGCAGTGGTAGCTTACGCAACTGCTGTGCTGAGTTCTTGGGTTCGATGCCCGGGTCGGACCAAATGTTTGTATGACCAGCAAATATTTGTTGCAGCAGCATTTGACCAGCAATTATGTTTGTATTTACAAAAAATTATATAAGTATTCTATCAGTCAATCTAGCTTTCATAGTACGAGCTCTGCTTAGTTTGAAACAAGATGGCGTTGTGTGATAGATGTCCGAATATATCATAAATATTATTATTAGTTGGTAAAATAATACTTCTATAGGCGTGACTATATATCTACGTATCTATGTGTATATATATATTTCAAAAATTCTGATGCGAAAAAGCGATTCCGGTTTGATAACTCGGCTATCATTGTTCCTTACAGTCCTTAAACTCAGAAGTCAAATAATCAGTTTATCTAAATATTTAACAAACCAAACTTTTCCTTTCATAACTTTAAGTAAATATCTCTCATAATTAACTTATAACAAATTACTTAGTATAATCTAAAATTCAAACAACTTTATATTTAAAGCTAGCAACATTAGATTAATTAATTTTGATTTATTAATTCTTCATTCAGAAGTAATTTGTAAGTGGTATATTGTTTGGGCCATTATGAACAATGGCTGGGCAAAGTTTTATAACATTCTGTTGTGGTTTGAAAACAATGTTACTTTTTAATACCGCATTGTATTTGATTTAGGGCGTTTTAAGTTAAGTATAGATAATTATTGTTAGTGTTTTAAATTTGCGGATATGTATCTTTAATTATTCTGTGTAACAGAATCTTAATAATTATTGCATCCCATGTTTCAGAGAAAGTTGAACTGTCTGTCTTGAAGTTTCCAGAGAAGTTTCAAATCAGTCGGGTTATTACGTGATGGTTCAGGCATTTTGGCATTTTCTCCTATTAAATTCACGAACCTTCTAGTATTTAATAGGAGAAAAGCCTATCGTATATGTTGAATCACGTATTCAACACTTGCTCAAGGACATCGGCAGCGAGAGAGAATGAGAGGGGACATCTGGCACGACGAGATGCGCGCGCGCGTGCCACAAGCGCGGCACTCAGCCGATCAACGGGAATAGATACAAACCTGCTTGCGGTACTTATATAGATTTCATATTTTTATATTCTTTTCCCGACACAGACAACTCTGTAAATAACCAGTGTTTTAAATAATTATTAATACAGTCCACTCTCGTTTTATTCCGCCTAACACTAAAGGAATCATATCAACAGTATATAATGTACGTATGCACGGTTTCACAATGCTGTGTAGACATGTTCTATAACCCGGCAATCTCGTGCGCGACCTTCCCGCGGGGTGACAGACAGTGGCGGGGGCGAGGTAGCGCGTCATTCTAGCACACGGCTACACACGAATAAAAGTGTTTCTCTTCCCCGCTACACCACCCGCTACCCGCTGACATCTTGAGTACCTCGTCCCCGGCACCGTCTGTCACCCCGCAGGACGGTCGCGCACGACGTTGATGGACTATAGTTCAACGATACATAGAGGAATTAAAACAAAGATAAGTGAGATCATCATCCATCAACCCTTGCCCCAAATGTATTTGGGGTCTGTGATATAAGTTTTCTTCTTTCATTCTCCTTGATCACTCGACACTCACTTGGTGACACAAAATGGTTTTGGCTTTTTCTTGTACCTTCAACCGTTCTTGGGAATTTAACAGTTCGCCATTTACAGTATGAACCGAAAGATATTTGGGAATTGCAAACACGCAAGATTTTTTATTATTCTTAAACCAAACAGCTTGGCAGCCCTTTTTCTGTAGCCATTATAACATTAATATCAGTTCTCCCTTGAGTGTGAGTTAAACGAAACATTTGAAAAGTTCAAAATTCTTCCTATTAACAAAGCATTTTATTCACTCGATCAGTCCAAGCGAGAATGGCTGTTAATTGCACCACTACGAATAGCTTATCGCTTTTGTTAAAAATTCATATAAATAAATGAACTATTTTGTGAATAAATTGGTTTATTCACCTCACGAGTATCATTTATACTAGGTATCGCTTAAAAGTTAAATTTTAATATCGAATATTCAGATACATCACACGTTCAATTCTAAAAAGTGCAAATTTTCCAAATGCGAGACTAAAACACATATTTTTCTTCAAAGGGTTTGACTGTGAAAAACTATTCAATTCAGTTCAAAGCCCTTTTGATTTATGAGTAGATACTTTGTTTTGCATGAAAAAACTAAATTGTTTTGGAAAAACAATCTTGATATATAAGAAGATGGATGGGCTTTTTGTTGTTCTTTTAGATTAGAAAAAAAGGGTATTTTTAATATAGCCGACTAAATCACAGATTGTTTTGGCTTTCGGTATGTATGCTAATGAATTATGAGGTTTTCATGGTTATCAATATAAATTGTTTATACTTATATTGTATATATATAATATATATATGTGTTTCTATGTATGTGTATGTATAATTATATTGATGTGATATCATACAAATACAAGTCCGTGTGGTGATGGATTAAGAATACAGAGTGTCACCACCCCTATTCATCCCGTGGGTGTCGTAAGAGGCGACTAAGGGAGAAAACTACGCAGAACAACTACACTGCAGAGAGAAGGAAAACTTGACACAAACCCTATGCCAACCCGTCTGGCCAGCGTGGTATAGTAGGCCAAAACCTCCTTTCTAAGGAGAGGCCTATGTCCAGCAGTGGACTATTAAAGGCTGATGATAATTATATAATGTATATTTATTTCTTTTTACACTAAGTTAGCCTCAATACACCTAGACTGTTTCTTCTAATCTACTGTCTATTTGTCCATCCAAAGGTTGCCTGTAAGAGATTGCTATTAGCAATAAGGCCGCCCATTGTACATATCCATATGTAATATTTGACCAATTTACTGTAATTGGTGTACAATAAAGCATATTCTATTCTATTCTTTATTCTGTGAGGTTATCTATATATGTTAAAGCGCCTGATGATATATTACCGCAATACCGGTAAAAATCAATACATTCGATATTAAAATCAATACAATACCGTGTAGCTTTAAGTTAGTTTATAATTTTTCACTACGACGACGACGACACATTGGAGATTTTCAATGGCAGTTACGTCTAGTCCACAAGTCTGATGTTTTACTTCCTGAATCCGTGCTGATACCTCACAGTACCTACTATGAATACAGGGTCCCTGTATCTTTTCTAAAAGCACCCTATTTAATTAGTACAACTACAAATACTTAATTGTTGGCATGAAGATCTTCAATTCAACAGGTTTCACTAGAAATATGTTGGTATTGCATTAAGACTCAAAAACCGTCCTATATGCATGTGGGTAAGGTTTTTTAGATAAGCCAAAC